CAAAGTACATTCCAAAATAATCATAATGCTTCTTCAAAACGTAACGTTAATTTAGTGAAACTAAACTTTCTACCTCAGACCAGGCCATGGTGGTCTGATCCTGCAAGTCTAAATTGAAATCCATTTATGCTACCACAGCAGATAAAATATTTGGGATCGCATAGCATACAACTGGGAAGCTTCAGCGACTGTTAGATTACTCAATATGATTTACTTTTTTAAAAATTAATAATTTTTTTTTATTTCACTCAAATTCAGTTACGGACCTTAGTTTTATATTTGACAGAAAACTTGATTTTTCTCAGCACACTTTTAGCATGTTATCCAGGGCATACAGAAATCTTGGGTTTCTCAAACAGAAAACTAGAGAATTTTTCTAATGAAATGGCTTTGAAGGTTCTGTGATTCACTCTTGTCTTGAATATTGCAGCATTTTCTTATTATCCGTATAAATATAAAATTGGCGTTTTCTACGAAAATTATGTTATAAATAAAATGCTAAAATTCAAAAAAATAAATTATATCTATCTATATATAAAAGGCAATGTTTTTGTGTATGCGTGTCATGTTTAGACGTAAAATATTGCACTTACAGCCCTGAAATCTGGCACACAGGGAGTAGTACTAACGGTGACTCAATGCACCTCGAAGCCTGAATTTTTAAATTAAATCTAGAAAATATTTTATTTAATATTTTGTGGTATTTTAGGTGATTTTTCATATTCATTTCTCCATTGCATTTTTTCTAATAATCGTAGCAAGAAAATAGATACACCATAATAAAGAAAAAACAATTTTCGTTCTAATGAAATTTATTTTAAACGTCTAAAAGATTGTTTCAAATGAAAAAGTTCCCTTACAATACTTTCTCCAATTTTAATAAATTTTTAAAACAATTTTGATATAGTTTAGAACAATACTTTTCATTGTTGCAACGCAATTCAAACCGTTTTCATTGTTTAAACAAATATCGAGTTCTTCAAACTGCGTGTTCCTCTTTCATCGTTGAAAGCTGAGTTAATATCCTAATACATTTTACTTTCATATTTTTTTTACCAAAATTTTAGGGAATATATAAACAAAGATCTCTGAGATATTACGTACATTAATCTATACTTATAAAAGATAATGTGTGCGTGCTATATTTAGTCGAAAAATATTGCACTTACAGCCTTGAAATTTGGCACACAGGTAGTCGTAATGGTGACTCAATGAAGCCCGAATTTTAAAATTTAATCTAGAAAATTTTTTATTTATTGTTTTGCGTGATTTTTCGCATGTTTTTGGCCGATCCATGAGAAATAATGATCATAGAAAAACCATTGATGCATCATTAGATAAAGCAAACAATTATCATTTTAATACAGGATCCGAAGTTTTGATTGTGTCAGCGTAACTGAAGTATTACTCCATTTTAGCGGTCAAACCAACTGGTTGTTCCGAGAATCTAGAATGTTTTTATTGAGTTTAAATTATAATAGCATCGTTTGAATAAACTTCATAATTTCACTGTTGCCTTTTAATTTTTTTTTATTTTGTTGAAGTCATTATGCCACGGGCAACGCACGGGCGTTCGCATACTGGTAGTTATAAATAAAATATAATTATATTAAAAATAAAATGCGCTATTTATTTCATAAAAAAATAATTTTTATTTAAAGGATATATCTTCAACCTTTCTAATTAATATTTTTGACATACTTAGTTTGAAATCCGGACGAGATCTTTTTCGTGTTCGGTCTTTTTTTTTTCTGCAAATTCGTCAACATTATGTTTGATCGTGGTGACATACTAAGCTGTATACATTATGCTGCACCTGAAAGGTCTCATAGAGTCGAAAGCCTATTTCAAAAAGTGTTGGTAAAATTTAACCCCTTCTTGGTCGGCGTCGCACGTCATACGTTCGGCTATTTTGTATCCGCATGTCATGCGACGAAGAGAAAAATTCATCGTTGAAAGTGAATTCGTCTCTACTTACGCGATTCGTTATATTCCGTGATAATATTTTGTATTTCTGAATCAGCAATAAAATAATCGGCAATAAATGATTTCAATGTGGTTTAAACGATCTGAAGATGGTAAAGCTGTTTTCATGGTAATGTTGTACGACCATTTTCAAAAAACATTTTTTTAAATATCATTAATAAGTCTTTTAATGTCGATATTTATCTTAAAAACATCAAAGCAATAGATTTGAGAAATATATTATGAGAGACAATTTTTTAAAATTTAAAACGGTAATTGCAGGGATGACTGGACACCAGGGAACGGGAAATCGTATCTATAACCACCAGTAGATCAAAACTGCTTACTGACAAAAATATTTTGCATTGTCGAATTCAGGATGGAACATAGTACAATTTAATGGAAACCTCTGTATGTTATAAGCAAAAAACATGAGAAAAATATGGGATTTTTTAAGAAAATCTTTATATTTTCCAGAATATTTGTGCTGCGTTTACGAATATCCATGTAAAATGCATCTCAAACGTAACCATTGATGAAAGCTTCATCTCGTTATAAGTTTTCTTTGAAACGGGATGATTCGATTTTTTTTTTTTTTTTTTTTTTTTTGTCTTCATACCTATTTGGTGGACCCCCTAAATGCGCTCAGGACCAAATTCTCACTGTAAAATGTGAACTAGGGTCTTTTTTTTAACATGGTCGAAGTTCAATGGCAGTCAGTTTAGCTTTAGAGAAATTCTAAAAAATGTGTGTGTGTGTGTGAAAATGCGAAAGTGTCGAGATACTTTTGATCAGATAGTGTATCTGTAGCTTGCATTTTCTTTTAAATAAATAAATGTGAACTGATTAATTAAGTGATAAAAACATCTTGATTTAAACTATTTTATTGACATCTAAGAATTTACTAACTTAAATAAAGCTATTTTCATTCATTATTAGATCCTAATTTATTTATTTTCCGAAGTACATGTACTTTTCGAGAAGCTGAAATTTTTTTTTTTGGAAAAGAGTGAGGTAACAGAAACTTTTTCAACTACATTAAGTTCGCAAGCGACAAAAGTTTAAGAATCTCTGTCTCAGAGCATTGATATTTATTCATGTCTTGAGCCATAAATTTCATATATTTTGTTAAAAAACGGTTAACAAACTTAACGTAAGGACTCAAATTTCATCCCTGTATTGAAAACTTTCTTCAAAATATCATACAAAGTTACATTGCTTTAAAACATTTATTTGCGCATTTAAAAATCATCATAGAATTGTCTTCTATACTTCCAGAGGAGATTTATTTTAATATTAATATATATATATATATAATAATGACTATTAACATTCAGATACAGAATGCTTCTGTTCTGTTTAAATTATTTTAAATTAGAGGGAACAAAACTGAAACTCTCGTGCTTTTAGAACATCCTGTTTACACTTACTTCTTCACGATGACTTCAATTTTTATCCCATCAAAGATTTCTTCTACTCCTAAGGCATGGGATATATTTTCTTCCATGTTGAAAATATATAGTCTTTCAAGAGGTAGAGAAGTTAAGTTCTCAATTTCTTTTTTGAACTCAACTCTCGTACAAGACAGTTGTGCTTCCTTTCCTAAATATTTTATATTTATATTTAGAAGCGGTTCGGCCTGAAAAAAGAAGAAATATACAGGGTGAAGCAGATTAAAAGGAAATTATTTTCTAAAATAATCTATATATTTAAAATAATTTGGAAAAAAAAAAAACCTTCACAGAGTCCGTCAGCCTCACCCACTCCACCGATTTCGACATTTATTTTCATTTGAATGGTTTTCACGCCTATATATGTCATCAAGGGTCGCCTGTCCCCCTCAACCCCCATTTCCGAACGAAATCGAAAAAACACTTCTACGCTGTACATTGTCTATGAGGAAAACCTTGTACAAATCCACCAGCCCCAACTACCCGACGGATTTAGACAATTTTTTTTAAAATGAAATGTTATGTCGTCTAGACATGTCATCAAGGGTCGTTTGCCCACACCACATCCCATTTTCGAACGAAATAGGAAAAAAACCACTTCTCCACCATACATTCTCTATATGTTTTTCTAATTAGACGTCATAACCTTTCATTTAAAAACAATTGTCGAAATCCGTCAGGTGGTTGGGGCTGGGAAATTTCTACAAGGTTTAATAATTTGGTAGAAACCTTCACCGAGTTCGCCAGCCCCAACCACAAAACGGATTTCGACAATTTATTTTTCATTTGAAAGGTTATGACGTTTAGATATGTCATCAAGGGTGGCCTGCCCCCCCACAACCACCCATTTTCGAACAAAATCATAAAACACATTTCTTCACCAAACAGTATGTTTTTTCGATTTCATTCTTAAGTGTGGGGGGGGGGGGGCAGGAGACTCTTGATAGCAATTCTAGACGTCATAAGCAAACAAATGAAATAAAAATTACCGAAATCCGTCGAGTGGTTGGGGATGGCGAACTGTCTGAGGCTTTTACCATATTATTTTAAATATAGAGATCCCAACAGTTCCCTCAAAATGGCGTGTCAAAAATGTCATAAAATACCTATTGTAGGTGATGGGCACTGTTTACTTAGGGCGATATCATTCTGTATTTATGGATCTGAAGAATTTCATGCCGAAATTCGTGAAAAAGTTATACAAAACAATACAACTAGATGAGGCTTATTGAAAGATTTTGCAATTTTAAAGGAATCTGTTGTCTAGAAAGAATATAAAAACTACTTTGGATTCATGATCTGTTCCACTGATCTTCATGCAGTATTTAAAACTGAAAAAAGTAGTGGCTGATAGCTTCGAAGCAGCAAGGTGGCAAGGACAGTGCTGAGCAAAGTGGATGCTGGACGCGAACCCACCCAGAGGGCGGCGAGAGCGAGTAGTTTAAGTCAAAATAAATTTTTAATTAATTTTTGAAATAAACTCAAAATCCTTCATTAAACATTCAACACCAAGGAGAGCCAACTGAATTTTTGATACTAGAGTGTATATTACCTCTATTAGATTGTAGATTGAGAGCAGCGAGGCCGCGGAGGCCTTGTGGTATGGTGTCGGTCTCGGAGACAGACGGTTACAGGTTCGAAACCCGATTCCACTGATGATCCATTGTGTATTGGGCCTGTTGCGTAGGGGGTCAAACTGCCTCCCACTGGTGTGATACGGATCCTTGGAGATGGGGTGTCAGCTCAGGTGTCGTCCTCGTCATCTGACCGCGGTTCAAAATTATGGTCACGTCCCTAAACAGCTCTCGTGTTGCTTCAGAACGGGACGTTTATATAACTAAACTAAACTACATTAGGAGAACACCCCGGCAGACACCTAGGAAGGGTGACAAAGACTACAGCAAATCTGCACCGTTAACATAATCTTTATTATAAAATGTTGCTAATTAAAAAACAACAGGAGAGATTATTTTAAAAATTGTGATGTGTTGAAAAATAAAAATTATACACACAATATATTGTAAAGAGTGACAAATAAAAGCAACAACAATGGGATTTCGCACTAATTTAAAAGATGAGAAAATGGCACAACGCGAATTCAACAAAGAAACAGAAGGAAGGCGTCATTGCAAAGTCTTTAGTTTGGCTAGAAAAAATAATGACAGATGAACATTCCTGATTACATAGCGTTTAATGATTATTATGAAAAGAAAATCTCGTCTTGCAAATGATGCCCATTTTCGCTTATGGTTTGAAGTTCCGCAGTATGCCTTCGAGCATGGTGTGGAATTCATAACATCTACTACCAGGGCCGTATTAAGTTTGTTGGAGGCCTTAGGCGCTAAAGTTCTTATGGGCCCTCTTAAAGTATAACGCATGTGTACTTTTGAATATTTCAACTTGTCAGTTAAGATGATTTAAAATAAGATAATTTTGCATATTTTTAATCAGAGTAACTATATTTCTATTGATAAAAATTGCTTTATAATTAGTCTACTATTTAATTTTAATTACCTGATTAATTAGTTAAAATTTATTTTTGTCCATAATTAATATGTTTTGTATTCAGTAATTTTTAAATTAATATCTCGTGTTCATAAATATTCGCATGAAGTATTATCGAAATATAACTTAGGATTCATTATATAAAAGTAATTTCCTTTTTCTTTTCAAACACACTTTTAAGTAAACTATCAAATAATAAATATTGTATTCTAAGCAACATTCGGCCAGTTATGAATCCCAAAATGATAGTTAATTTGATTCAAAATACTGAAATATGATAAATCAAGAATAATAAAAACACGAAATGTAATATTTAAATCTTCATACCAGCATAATATATTCGTCTTTTCTCTTCTTATCTTGAAGGATCGCGGGTCTATAATAAATCATTTTTTATCTCCTTTTTTAATTGTTAGAAATTTTGGAGGTGTTAAATCATAGGAACGCATTTGAAAAACGAAAAAAGAAGAGGGACATGAAAATTTATTTAACAAAGAACTTCCAGCGAAATAGAATTTTGATACCAAATTCAGATAATCCTGGAATTTGATCAGATTATTCAATAATTCGAAAAAGGTGGATCTAGGGTACTTTGAATGAACCAATCGTAATAAATTAAAACAAGATAAACTTAAAACACTTGACCATATTCATTTATAAATAACATGATACTCTTGTATACTTGGAAAAATTTAAATGATTCATTAATCGTAATCAATACTCTCTAATTAATTATCTATGTTTATAGGAAGTGATGCAAAATAATAAAAATAAAAATTATCCAAAGCTCAAACGTAATTCTTCAAAGGAACGATGTAATAGCGGTGGCCTAGTGGCAAGAAGTCGGCCTGGGAGCTGGTCGGTTTCAGGTTCGAAACCCTATTCCACTGACGATCCGTTGTGTATTGGCCCTGCTTTACGCTAAATCATCCATCGGGGGTCAAATGTGTTCCGTGTGGTGTGGAGGTCTGGAGAGGGGAGTGCCAGCTCAGGGACGTCCTTGTCATTTGACCGTGGTTTATAATTACGAGGTCCGCTCCAAAATAACCTTCGTGTTGCTTCAAAACAGGCCGTGAATATAACTAAGCTTTTCGAAGGGAATCTATTATATCTGCTTCTAAACTAAATAAAAATCCAAATTCATTTATTTTGGAGGTATCATTGTTATATAAAATATTTCTGTAATAATTCAGTAATCTTCTATCATAATCAATGCCAAGATTTTTGAAAAAAAAATGAGAATAAATCACATACTAAAATTTTACTCTTTATTCTAAATAATAAATAAATTTACTGAGTCTAAAGATATATTTTGTTAAAATGATTGAAAATATTGCTCTGAATTTAAATGGAAGTAGCGAGGCTACTAAGTTTAAATTTAATTAATGAAACTGTGAATGTTGTTTTTAAACTTGTATAAATGAAGATATTTAGAATTTTTTAGAAATTTGTTCGTTATTATTTCTTTTCTGAACCTGAAGGAACTTGTATTATTCCATTAAATATTTATTGTCATATTTTATTCAACTTTATATTGTTAAATTAAATAAAACATACCTTTTTAGTTCTATTCCTCAGTGGAGGAATTCTTTTCAAAATAATTAATGTAATGAACGCTACAATCTTCATCATGAAATCTGACTAAAATTCTGCCCTGGGTTTTGAGCAAGTTTCAATAAACAGTAAATTTTCTCATGTTAACGAGATCTAGATGCATTTCGATATTTAAATCTTTGACGAGATATCTTCTGTTCAAGCTCTGTGATTTTAATAGTAAAAAGAGGTTTTAAACGATGATGGCTATTGTCGAATGATACTTAAAAGGTTTTTAAAAGCAGAGTGAATGGGAAACAGAAGAACGTAAGATATTCAATCTCTAAAATAGTTAAATGACTAAAGGAGAAGAGGGGTTTTATCTACTGAACTGATCCATTGCTACTATTGACTTCAGATATTCATTGAAAAGAAAAAGCTCATCAATCATTCTAATCATTGAAACGACACCTTCTTGCGAAAATGTTTTCTTCGTACTGATTGGGTTTCTTTCTTGAGCCTGGGAAAGTGAATATCTTGTCATCTGGACTACTGTCTGTACTAAGCATTTACATATGCACACATCCGATTTGTGTATGAAAAGTCTTTAGCGTTAAATTTAAGAAGTGATTAGTAGGTGAGTACATTCATAGCTGTTGAGTATTGCACTCAGACCTACCGTGATGCTGTAAATGTAATTAACGGCTGTTTTGATCAGTTTTTTCTCTAGGAAACCGGAAGAGAATCTTACCCGCAATTAGGTCGGTAAATTTCAGGCACTCTGATTGTGACAATAAAACGTGGATCTGCTAAGTTAAAATCGGATATGTGAATACGTTCTTAGAGCGAAATTTTGTATTGCGATATTAAGAAAATACCGCTTCGTTTAGGGGCCCCCTTTCTGCCCGGGTGTCAGGCGGGCGGGTAGCCTTTAATGCTCGCCTGCTTGACTACTCTTACTTACTCCACATTTCCTGGAGTCCGTACCTGACGTGAATTGCGTGCGGTTTTATTTTCTTTTATGACTTCTTCAACAAATATCAACAAAATGTAAAATTATGTTCGTCGAGGGAGCAAAGACTTCTTGCCAAATTAAGAATCTGCGACGAAACTCATGCTGAAAGGCGGTAATCTACTTATTACTCCTTGAAAGCTAATTATAAGTATAAATATGCCATAATATCATCCGAAATTGCTTTATGCCAACTAAAATGCTATTGCTACTAACATAGGAACAGGATTTCCACACTTACCTGTCTATCCCTATCTACTAAGCCGAACATTCGCTGAGTCAAAAACATTTAATTTAACTATCTCATACTCTATTAAATATCGAAAAGCTCAATTGCTTTTTAAATTGTGAGTCGAGACCACAAATAAGGTCAAGATGATTTTCACAAAACCTTGCATTTGCATATTCATCAGCATTTGAAAACAAAGATTGTCGCGGAAGTTCTTGTGGCTTCAAACACTAATTTGCTGAAAAATTAATTTAAATGTAATTTCATCTTATTCATCGCAAACGTTATTTATTACACTTTTTATTTAGTTTGCAGATATGGAGTCGGGCTGAAAATTCGCGGCGTGGTTATGGAAAAAAATATTCAGGAGATGGGAAACGGCTTAAAATGCTTTAATTGAAAAAAAGAATATAGAAAATAAGAAGAAATAAAGAGAAAGTGAAACAAATAAAAAGGAATTTAAATTGCCTAATAAGATAGTTAATTGCACTACAATTTGCAGGTGAATTATTTAAACGAAATAGACAGAAAAACAATCAGTGATGTAAAAAGGAATACTGGCATTCTAAGTCGTAAAAGAACCATAATCCTTTAAAAAGGAAACGAGAACTATGATTAAACTTTCTGAAATTGCATTCGATTGCTTGCTATTTTTTCAAAAACGTTTATGAATTGCGAACTCTCAATAATGAGTTTTCACATGAAGTGCTTGCAAGATGGAAGAATTTTGGGTTCAAAACCCATCTTTACCGATTATATGGTATAGCGAAATCGCCTAGCAACAGCGACCATTTTAGGATTTCAGGAGTAATCTGACGCAACACTGTTTGACAGGATGCAACATGCCAGGGAAAGGACAACGCCTGAATTGGTGGGAGACCATCCCCGCTGCAGATGTTTCCTAAACTGAGACGTTGATTGACAGAGTCACCAACATGTCTGGGAATGGACAATGCAGAATTCTTAGGAGAATACAAAATGTCAATTTTTGACAGACTAGAGGGCCAAATCAGCCTTTTTGGAAGTGGCAATAGACTAACATAAATGCTAGTCTACGATTTTTGAAGCTGTATGAAATAAAATGCCACTTGAGTAATGACGAGACCTTTAGCGTTAGATAAACATGTGGACTTGGGTTTTGACAAAGAGATTGTTTTTTGCTTCTCTCGGAACAGAAGCCAGAGTGGTCTCGTTAAAATTCTTCTGGAATCCCGACTGGCATTTCTCCTAAGTGGGATTGCGATTTTGTGTTTTGGGGAAGGACCCGGACATCCGGCCTGATCTTGCGGAAGCTCACTTGAACTTCGGGAAACGTATTGGACTTTCCAACGCATTGAAATTTTAGAATTATTTGCAGACTGACCCCGGACCTCTGCC